CAGAGAAGATGCAGAGGGGTTTTGCTTGTATAGACGGGGTTTACACATTTTAAGTATTAAGTGTTAATAAGCATTAATTAAGTGAAGGAAGAGCAAAAACTGAAATGTATTTAGACTATGCCAAGTGTCTGGAGCAAGACACAAGATTTGCAAAAGTTAACATATTACCTCTAACAGAGTCAAGAGCTGCTCACTACCCCAAGGAGCTATTTTTTGCACCATAAGTGCACTGCAGTGAAACAACTTCCTCTTTTGTGACCCTAAACCTTCACCTGGACAAGCTGTTCACATGCAGGCCACTGCCAAGTTAGCAAGAGAACTGTTTCACAGGAAGCTGGAGTCTTCTGGAAACTTCCGTTTACAGGAATGCAATTACCATGCAATTCCTCTTTGAACCCACACCTCTTTTTTTTCCCTCTTGACCTGTCCCTCCTGTGAGGGGCTGTTGGTTGAGGCAGCATGGGCTCCCCTGAGCCATGCCTGCCCACACCCTGCCTGGCACTGGGCTCGGCAAGGCAACAGCCCCACAGCACCCCCAGGCTGGCACTGAGACCCTCATGCAGAAGGTGCTGCAAGTCCTCACTTAAATATATTAATACTGCACTGCTGACATGGTGGATCAGGCAAAGGTAGCTAAAACCTAAAAGAGAAAAAAAAAAATTTTTTCTCAGCCATTGGCACAGGTCCAAGCCAACCCTGATGGATGCTGCACAGAACATATCCTCCCTGTCCTTTCTCGGCTGATGGGGAGTACCCCCATAACACGACATTAAATCCACCCCTTTTCATACACTGTCACACAGATATCCAATGTCCCTCTGCATACTGCATCCCAAAACCTTGCTTGTACCAGAGTGAAAGAAAACATATTTGAGTCAGCATTGCAGAGTCCTTTTGTGCAGGTGTACAAAACAAATCAGGAGGTAATAATGCAATCTGTCCAGATCCAGCCTTTAACTAAGGGGTCAGGGAAGGGGATGGAAAACAAGGTCTAATATGTATGTATGATGAAAGGTTGATAGTTATTTCATTGTGTGCTTCAGTGTGAAAACCACAGTGACAATGATACTGGAATGTGGTTTTCGTCACCATGAATACTTCATGCCAGGCGGAGAGACCTTTTACATGCATGAGAAATCCTGTGCTTTGGGGGCTGCACAACTTAAAGAAGATGTGCCCTGAAACTACTTACAAAAACCTGTTCTCCCAGACAAGCTGTGGCAGAAGGACATGAAGTTATTTGCATGTGGGACTTGCCTAAAGCCAAACAGCAAAGGAACATCTCTCCCAGCCGGGACAGCTCACCTGTGCAGAGCTGCACCTGCTCAGGGATTTGTCCTGCTACTGCATATTTTGGCTTCTGTGGAGTTTTTTGAAACAAGGCTCATATTTGACAGACATCCTCCTTTGCAACTGCAGAGCATCTCAGTAGCATCACTGTAGCAGTCATTTTTATGAAAGATCTGGGATTGCACAGTAGTAATTGGGGCATGAGGGAACAACACAATGGCTCAAACAACACAATAGTTTTAGGAGTCACCACTAAACGTATCTCTCTTGCTTTCCAGGTACCTAACTTAGGAATTGTAGTACAAACAGACCTTGCCCAATCCCCTCACCCACCCTCCTTGGTGCAAGCAGCTCCCTGTGAGCTCGTGCCTGGCTTCTCCACAGTAGAGAAGTACCCTCTGCTTTGAAGATGCTTTCCAGAAGCTCCAAGTTTACAGATGACAAGAAACACAGGATGCAGCTGTACACCGAGGGGATCTAGAGACACAACACCTTTCCACACTTGTGGACTTCTTTGGGTAGAGAGTTTTCTCATGACTGAGGAAACTGATGCATCCATCAAAATCTAAGCTGATGCTGACTGAGAGTTTTTTTCTCTTCCTGTTACATCCTCTGCAGCTCAAGAGGCAATTTCCTGCCCAGTAAATATTTCGAGAACATATCCCACACTCTCAGAACATAGTTGAATGGGAAGGAGACCCAGCACAAGGACTGGCAGCTGCAGGGAAAGGGCAGATGTAGTGTGGGCCAAAAGCCACAGTGCCCCCAGTCCCCAAGCCAGACTGTCCCAAGTCTATTTCCGTGCCTGGCTGGTTCCTTCCCTTCCTTGTGCTCTGCTCCAAGACAGCAATGTACAGCTCAGCCCCAGCACCCCACGCTCCCCTCACTAACAAGTTAGACTTTAAGGAAAAGGAGTCAATCTTCCTCAAAACTCCCAATTAAATGGTGAGATCTGATAATACTCTCACTGCCAGACAAGAGATGAAGCTGCACGATAGAGGCATCTTTCCTTCCTTGTTGTGACAACTGCAGTGACAACTGGGTTCAATATACACAGGGAACATGATCTTTCCCATGTCAAGGGTGTTCACAAGGTTTAGACAAAAGCACATTAATAATTAGTCTCCCTTTTCTGCACTTTTTTCAAGCTTGGACACCAAGCTTGGTGGTGTCCACCCTTCGAAGGTTCCACCACTGTTCATAATACAAGTACAAAATGGTAAAATCTCCCTTTGGGTAGATGCATTTACACTGGCATAAAAGTCCTAAGTATGCTAACATTTTTTTCTGATTCAGTGCTAAGCCATTAAAGTAAAACATGTTGATGCTAATAGAGCAAATAAACCTGAGTTGAAAAAATACATAGAACACAGTTATGCTACTAAAACTTTCCAAGTGTAGACAAAAATAAACATGTGCAACAACTAACAACAGCTTTGTGAAGCCCTCTAGACTCTGAGCATTGTCATATATTGTGTCAATTCAGGGCATTTCCAATTTAATTATCAGTTTCATACACACAAACACACGCTCTTGTGAGAGTACCTAGAGCACTGAAGTCTTGTGCTCATTGCTGGCCATTTTCATTCCATGTTTGCTCTAGCCCACAGCTAGAGTACTTGTCTTGTACACATTCCAGGGGATATTTTATTCTTGTTCAAAAGCTAACTGGGTTTTGTCAGCGGGTTGTTTTATTTATCATATTTGGAAACACAGTCATTTCTGTTGGCCTCAAGCATTTGTGGAACACAAGGGAGTAAACCAAGCTTATAAAGAGCCAGCTTGAGACTCCTTAGGAGCTTCAATTTCTGACAGCATCATACACTTTGCTTACAAATGAGATACTTTTCAGAACACTTTGGGCTGCAGCTATTGACAAACATCAGCATTGTAGCTTTTTTCCGTCTCCAAACTAGTTATTAAAAGATTAAAACAGAGTCTCCAGGTAGTATAGGAGTGTGCTCAGGCAGTGTACAAAACAATGGAGCTGAATGGCAGAAAGAAAGGAGAGTGCAACGGTCTATGGGCAGCAGAGCTGAAGGTGAGAGGCTAATTATTTGTCCCCAGAATTCCTTTGGCTGTGTTATTGCATTCATGCTAAAGCATCTGTAACTACTCTTCTGCTGCTCTGATAATTTAAGTCTGCCCATTGCAGCTGGGAGCTGAGAGGGGAGCCTGAGCTGGTTGTATGGGCAGAGCATAGCAGCATGTCAGACACCACGCACACAGCACTAACCACAGCACTGCCTCAGTGCTAGAAACAGGGACCTCCTTTCCCAAGGGAACCTACAGATTTCCTTCTCACCTGCCCAGAGAGCATGGAAAACTTGGCTCTGTCCACACAACAAACCACACTCTTTGGCTTCCCAGAGAAGGAGGAATAGGTGCTGGGTGCACTGTGGGTGCCTGGGGTGTTTGAAGAGAATCAGATGCAGCCCCCCAAAACTCTGTCTCACTGCAGTGGAAAGCAAGGGGAGAGCAGTAAAATCCTCCCTTCCTGAGAAGAAAAGATGCCTTTTGGTGGATGACACAAATTTGGGAGCAATTATAATTAAATACAAGAGCAATGTGGTGGGGAAAGGGGCAAATTAGATACCCTACCTTTGAATTGTGGCTGGCTCCAGTCAGCAAACTCCAGTGACTGCTACAGCAAAAAGTGAATTCACCTTACTTGATACTTGACCTGAAGTGTGTGCTGCAGGGGCACAGGAAGGCTGGCACCTGCAAAGCAATGGGGCAACTGAACTGATCTCCCCTGACAGCTCCCCTCTCACTCACTTTTTCATGGCATTTGTAGCACCACTCTGTGATCTCCTTGGGGCCACTGATCCTCTGGACAGCTGAAGTCCATGGAATTAGGCTGGTTTAACCGGTGGAGCAGCACATTTTCTCCAGAAAGTGCTCATGTCAGCAGAAGTCTGGATGGGGGAGAAATGCAGGCAGGGACTGGTCTCTCCTAGCAAGCAGAGACCCTATATGGGGCTGCTTGTTGTAGGGAACTTTTATTCCTTAAACCTAACCTAGGAGTAATTTCCCACATGTTTCCCAAAACAACACTCCAGTGGGCTCAACCATGTCCAGGACATCCCAGAACACTTCATACTTGGCTTGTATGTTTGGAGTTCACTCCAGTATGGTGACAGTGCAAATCTGCCCATGGGAGCTTGCACCCAGGAGAGTCCTGACACTTTCTTTTCATCCCTCTCACCCATAGCCTGCAGCACCAGTGATAACCAAGGCAGTTTTCCATTATGAACACATAACATGCAATTTGAATAGAAGACAAGAAAAAACCTGAAAAGAAAAGAAAAAACAAAAAAAAACAAAAAAAGCCAAAAAAAAACCCCAAAAAAAACCAACAAACCCACTGTACTCTTTTACTGTCTCTCCCCACCCTAAACATTCCAGCCTTCCCTGCCACTAGAGAGGGGAGTTGTTTATTGATATTATGCAAGTACTGAAATATTTTTCTTCTCTGCTGTCCTTTTTCCCCCTTCTCTCTCCCTCTCTTCTCCAAGGGTTGCAAAGGTAGTTCAAACCCCTCCAGTCATCTCGGCTTATCAGCCACAGGAGATACATTCCTCTGGGCTGCTCCCTTTATAAGTCACTGCTGGCCGGGCGCCCGCGCGGCGCTCGCAGCCTGCGCGCCGGCGGCGCTGCGCTCCGCGCTGCCCCCGCCGTGCCCTAGCCCGGGCCCGCTCCCCGCCCGCCGCGGGACGCGCAGCAGCTCGGGCGGGTCGGCAGCGATGGCACCCCCGCCCCCGCGCCCCGCCCGCCCCTGAGGGCGGCTGCTGCCGCCGGGATGTTCAGCTGGCACCGGAGCTTCACCCTGGGAGCGCCCTGGAGGAGAGGTGAGTCGGCCGCTCCCCCAGGGCCAGCCGGCGGCTACCAACACCTCCCCAGACCCGCACCCCCGCCACCCCCTTCCTTCCCCTCGGTGGCCGCGCGGACGATACTCGGGACAAGCCCATCCCGGCCCGCCCCGCTCCCGGGCCCCGCCGGACGGGCACGGCGCCGCTGCCGGCCCGGCCCCATGCTGCGCTCGCTGCTCTCCGGCTGCCTCTGTCCCCTCGCAGGTAAGGCTGCGCTCTGCCCCCTCCCGCTTCAGCCTCCGGCCCCTCAGCCCCTGCCCCGGGGCCGGCGGGGACAAAGATCGCGCTTAAGGAACCGGCTTCATTTCCTCTTAAAATGGGCTTATTTCGCCTTGGTAAGCAAAGCTGGGGGCAAAGCTGTGGGGAGAGGAGCAGGGAGGCGGGAGCGCTGTGGCTCCGAGCGGTGCGCGCTGCCGAGGCACCGGCACCCAGCGGAGCGGCTGCTGCCGCACCGCGCGGCTCCGGCACGCCGCGAGGCGGGTCGGGGCTGCCCTCCGCCCGTCACGGGCGGGCCACGGACATCGGCTCGCTTTCTAGGCTAGTGTATTCCCACCCGACAGGGATTGTCGCGCGTTCGAAGTGTTCTACTTGCTTCCTCCTGTGCAGGTGAGGTGACCCCTGGCAGGAAAGGCAGCTATAGTCCTGCAGTTGATCACCTATAACTTTTTAAGCCTAATGTGCAAATAAATTATGTGGTCTCAATATGCCTTTTCCAGGCATAGTGGGGCCACTATGTTTTATACCTTAGCCAGAGTTGCAGGTGTTGAGATTACGAGCCCCATTCTCGGAATTCTCTTAGCATCCCTGTTTACACCTCATCTTGGTTTGGGGCAGCTGTAAACGAGATCGGCAAGTTCAGTCTCATTGGCATGGCTGCACTGGGCTGGTTTGCTTGGCATGGAGGTGGCTACAGAGAGTTTGTCAGAGCGTAAATGTAGTGTGCAGTGCAACAGCAGGACGGCAAAAATTTTGCAAACCCATGTGTTGGGGGTGGTGATACCTCCTGGGGTCCTGACTTTCCATCCTTATGCCAAACTCCTGCTTCCTTGGAGTGCTGCAGTGATTGTTCTCATGGAGTCATCAGAGCTGGCACATTCTTGGGCATCCACTCAGGTACTCTCCGCTTGGATTGTGCTTTTCAGCTGCCCTGGTCTGGGGCAGCTACTTAGAGCTCCGAGTGAGCTGGAGCCTCTGTGAGGTGCCCCAGCAGGTAACTGTTAAGTGCTGCTGCCAGCAAGGCTGCTGAAGCATGTTGCTCTGCCTGGGTTCAGTCTGGGAACTGCTACCCCATGACACAAAGGGCTTTAGAGCAATGCTGCTGTGCGAGCATGCCAGCATCCCCTCAAGATGTGGAGGGTGTTTGAGGAGTGTTTTATAGTATGGTGGAAACTGCTCCTTTTTGCCCTGGATGTAATTTGACCATGAAGTTGTTTCCTCCAAGATACACAGTGCAAACGTGATGGCAGGGTTAGGAGGTGAAAGGGAACTTGCTTTTCTACATGGAAGTGTCCCTCACCACCCAGACACAGCAGTATTGTTAACGGGGCAGGTGAAAGCTTTGGTGGGAGAACATAGTTATCCTACAGAGCACTGAGGGATCAAAAAGAGGTTCAGCTAGAATTTATCCAAATAAGGAACAGCAACATCACTCTAATCACTTCATCTAGGAAAAAGACACCAAATATTATGTGTGTCCTGATTTGGATGCCATCTCTATTCAGAAATAGCATTCTGGGTTCTTTCTCTCACTGCAACTATAAAATATTGCAGACATGCCAGAGTATGGTTACACCTGTCCAGTGCTACCTTGTTTGAGCAGAAGCAGCTCTCTGGGGTTTCACCAAGGGACAGCAATGACTGCTCATGAAGAATGGGTAAACAGCCTTTATTAGACCTTTCTAATACCATTCTCGAGTTCCTTTGGCTTCAGTTGAAGCACTGGTGTCTAAATGGCCTTGGTCTTTGGGGCTATTGAACAGTTGTTTATCCAAGCTTATTATAGGCAATAAAACCTGAATTACTACATACCTGTCATCCCTGGGGGGCACGTTCCATCCTTGCAAAGGGCCTCCTGGCTCCTAGTTAATTTCTGGCTGAATAATCCTCTGTGATATAAGGCAGCCTGCAGATCAGATGTACAAGGAAAAGATCTAAATTAGACAGTTTTTGCCAACGTGTGATATATTTGTTTCTATTGTTTTAATTTTCTGCTCAGATATATCACTGAGTTGTGTGCTAAATAATCTTTTGCTGTTATAGAGGGCTGCTCATGAAAGCACTGTTTTCTTTATTTAAGGTTTTGAACCTTTCTCTTCGAGGAACACATGGGAATTTCCAAGGAGAAGGATTTGCAGGTCTTTAGTGGCAGCTGACATCTCCCTGACAAAAATTTCACGAAGAAGCCCCATAGGTGATTGTAGGGGCTGAACCTCTTCCCTCCCCCAGCCTTCAGGACTGGTTACTTTGCAGAGTAGGGAGGACTTGGGCTCTAATCCTTGTGCACCAAAATTATCCCTGGCCAGGTTTTCCCACCGGGTCATAGATACAAAGAAATAAGTTGCAGCGTGAATGCAGAAACGAGTGGGAACAGCGCTTTAGCTGGTGCAATGCACAGTCAGGTGTTGGTCTAAAAACTGGTGACTGCCAGCCTGCACAAGTAACTGATAAACCAGGTGGTCTGAGGGGACCTGCTGTGCCCCGGGACTTTCTGCCAGAGGTCACTAATCTATCAGTGTTGTCGCTTGGTTTCAAAAACTTCACAGGTCACTTGGAATGAATAAGAGTAAGCTGTAAAAGTGTCAAGTGGCCTCTCTACTTGGAAATCCATTTCCTCTTTAGTTCACCCAACTATATCAATCAGTAAACAATTAATCAATCTCCCTCTCATTCCTCAGTCAAATGCTTGAAAAGACCTATAACTAGCTCATCTTTTTTAAAACATAGATACTGAAGCAATGAACGTCTCCTCAAAGAGTTTCAGTCACAGTCCTTGAACCCTGTTATCTTTCTCTCGGTATCTACTTTATATGGATTTATCTTTACCAGCTGCAGCTGTGGGTACCTATAACATTTCTGGTCACATTGTATTACCAAACTATGATCCTAAGGAATTTCACACACTTAACTAACATTGAGATTAGACACCACCTTGGAGACAAAGGATCTAAGTACTTTGTGCTTTTTGTTCAAGGACTATCTGAAATCTCAGCTTTGTCATAACTATTCTTTTACATTCAACATTTTGAGCAAATCAAATCGCATATGGTCATGAAATCCACATGCATTTCACTGCTCCAGCTGGATAAATCGAAGTTTAGAGAATCGGATCTATTGTGCAAATACTGCTACAATATGGCAGCATAATCCCCTGCAAATGTGAATTTTTCAGTCACAATCCCAGTAAAAAAACCCAACACAACAAGCAAATCAAACAAAATAAAACAATAAACCTGACCTTTCTTCTGACAGTGATTTTCAAGCCTTCATAAGCTTCTGCTGTTGTAGGTAGAAGGCAACAGACCCTGCAATAAGCTTTCTGTATAAATTTTTAAGCTCGTGATTATCCTAATTATTTAGGAGAAGCCTTGCAGAGGCTCCTTATGCAGGATAAGCCTTGGGCAGCCTAGGATAAGTCAGCACACTCAGCACATTGCTTGAAAAGCACTGGGGAAGGCAGATAGTTTGCAGACTTGTGACAGGTAGCACCTCTGCCATTGCCAGGATTGGGATCAACAGTCCAGTAAAGCACCAGGTAGTCGGGAGATCCCCACCCCGTGGAAATCCATGGCAAAGCTGTGTGGAGATAGACTTTTCTCACAGAGGGTAGTGGTAATGTTTAGTAATTTTTTGAGGTGTGGGCTTTGTTGGGTTGGTTTGGGGTTTATTGGAAGCGTAAGAGAAATTCAATTCTTGTGAGCAGTGAGGTCCTGTCTGTACAGCGCCTGCCTGAGCCCACAGGGCTGTGCTAGGGACAGCCCTGGGGACAGCTCTTTCCCAGCCCTGGGGACAGCTCTTTCCCAGCCCTGGGGACAGCTCTTTCCCAGCCGGGGAGGTGACACGGCTCCCGCAGTCCCTGCGTGGGGGCTGCTGGGGAGGTGCCAGCGCGGCTCCAGTGCCCGACCCCACCCTTCGGCACACATGGGGTAAAAGTCATCAGCAAAAAATGCCTATTGTTTCAGAAAGGAAGTGACCCCTTCTCTCTTAAATGCTGGGAAATTGAGACCTCATCATTAGTGAGAAAAAAACCCACCTCTTCGAAATGAAAGGGAAATAGCACCTGAGCCGTCCTGCCAGCAGTGCTAGAGAATGTGGCACAGTGACAAAACATAGGGAGTCTTCTTGTACGGGAAGGAAGGAAAATGAGGGAATGCAAGGACTGAATGGGAGAGGCAATCTTTCATTTCTAGGTCATGAGTCTGACTCCAGTGCACTAGTCACTGCTATCTAATGATTCTTCAAAAGGCGACAGTCATCTCTTAGCCTGTTACTTGGAGGCCACAGCCCCATTACAGAACCAGTCCGGCATGGCAGGGTTTCATCCTTGGCGAACTGGAGCCAGAGAGGAGCCACAAGCAGGTTGTGTTCTCTATAGGATGCTGAAAAGCCTTTTCTGGCACTTTGCACGTGCCCTTTACTCCTGTACTCAGTGCTAAGCAGAATGGTAGGAGTGCTGTGGTTTGGCTTCGGTCTTCCTTTGCAGGGCAGCTGTGCAAAGTCCCTGTTACTCCAACAACCCAAGTCATTGGTGATACCGTTTATTTTTGGCGGCACAGTAAAACTGGAAAGTACTGGCCTCATGAACTGCAGTGTGCAGGATGTTGTGTATCTTGTGGCATGTGTGGCACACAGGAGCAGGGAGAGGAATACGAGTATCTCTGGGCTATTCATCCTGTACAAGCCTCCCAGCAATAGCCACTGTGGATGGGTTCGCTGTGCACATGGACCTTGCAGCAGTTCCAGAGACAAGCAGAAGGCTGCCATGGCTCTACCTTTTCTATCCCTTCGTAAGACAGTGGTGGATACAAGCAAAGCTTTGGCTCCAGCTGTGCCACTTTTAACAGAGATTCTCCCCATGCCAAGTAGCCTAAAAACCAGGATTAACATTTTGAGACAAAAGGGCAGAGACTGGAAAGGAAGAGAGCAGCAAAGGGCAGTGCTGGTATGGTATGGCTCTCTACTGCCAGTAGCAGCACTCATTCCACTGCCAGCCTGGCCTCTTCCTGTCCACCACTGCTTCCATTAGAAGCATACATCAGAAAACCATGTGCTATGATACTTAAATCAGTGCATCAGAGGCCATGGACTCTCTCAGAGATGTAGCAGAGCTTAACAGGTCTTGCACTGAAGGAATTGCTAGTGAAACACAACAGAATCACAGGCGTAGATGCAAAAAAAAAAAAATCAGACATGGATTTCAGTACTTTGGAGCACAGAGATTTGGATATAGACTTTTAGCTTGGTTTACTAGAAAGGTGGGAACTTTTGCAAGAATTGGGCTTAAGCAGGATTGGAAATGCAAAAGAGTTTTTCCTGGGAAGTTGTTTGAGTTCATCTCATGCATCCAACTTACTTGGGATAAAGAAATTTCTTGAAAGTAATTTTATGTTTAGGTATCTGCCCTCCTTCTCCTGGTAAGTGTTCTCTGTACTAATAGACCAGGCTGAGTCCTGGCAGCTGCTAGTTATTGTGCAACTGGAAAAATAACTTGGACTTAAAAGTCCCAAGAAAGTGAAGCCTTGAGACAGGAGCTGATAGAGAAGGTATTTATCCTTGAAAGATTTAAGTTTCTCTATTAGGCTTTGCTAACTGCAACATAGACATATCCTAGGAAGCAATTCAAACATGATGCAGAGCAAAGTTCTAGAGGCTTAGGTGGGACACATCTGCTCCTTGCACTCCCTACCAGTTACCCTCAGGTATCAGCTAGTTCACTGTCACCACCTCCTTGTGCATTGGGAAGCAGTCTGATTCTCCAGCTTTACCAGCACAGGAAACCCAGCTTCCCAAGGCTACACATGATCACTTACCACCAGTTACAGGCATATATTTCAATCCAGGGAACCCTGTATACCTCTAGGGTGATTACAGAGCCATATAACTCTTTGAAGGGGCTACTAGGCAAGTAGCACAAGCTACCCTGAGACAATGTTTGGTCTGGGCACACACGTTGAATATGCTTCAGGAACCTGTACTGATTCTGAAGCATGTACACAAAACTCCACTCCTCTGGTTGCCACACCAGCATACCAGCAAGCTTCCTAAAAATTACAGCATTTGCTATCTCACCCCACCCCAGAGGGGTGTGGAAAACCGGTCCAGGGGAAAAGAAACTAACAACAAAAATCTTGGCTGAATTCCCAGGAACAGCAGTGTCAAACCTGGCTGGCCTCCAGCACAAGTAAATATATCTTACCATTGTTAATGCCACCGTTCAGCTCTCTGAAGTTCTTCACACCTCCTTTCAGAAGCCCCTGTGCAGGATTGTTTGCAGCCGTACCCCTGCAGCACACTCCCTCCAGTGCCAGGCAGGAGTTATCTCCCTTCCTTGCTTTGCTCAGGGCCCCTGGTATTGCTGAACAAAGCACTTACGGACCAAACCCTCAGCCAAAATTAGCTGACACAGATCTGTTAAGGGCCCTGGAAATGAGTTAATTTATAGCAGCTGAGGGTCTGGGTTGCCTTTTTTTTTTTTTCTTTTCCCCTCAGTTGCACCATTCCGGTGTTGTTAGCAATATGCTTGAAAGAGCTGAACGTTTTTGTATGTCTCTTTCAAGATCTGTAGCAGGAACAATCTGCTTCTTGGAAGCCCCACAGTTTAGATTCTATAGTACAGTTAACAGAGAGGAAGGAGACTGTTCTGTCAGTGAGGTGCAGCAGGAGTAACTTGAGTTTCAAGTCACTGCCTTAATCATTGGAGATCTTTCTGCTGTAGCACAGATGACCTCACTGACCACAGGAAAGTATTATTAAATGAATGAGTACGAGGTGCCTAAGTGTGTTGCAAAATCCTGTTGTCCTTTGCCAGTATTCTGGTCTTGTGGTACAGGGATGATCACATTTTGCCTCATCACGGGGCATTGGAAGTATAAATCAGAAATGCTCAAACACTGTGGTTTGCAGGACCTGATGGTGCTGAGAGCAATGGTTTGCAGCCTAGAACAGATAAACAATTTTTGTAAAACATGTTGCTAGTAAACACAGTAAGGAGAGAGCAAAAAACTGTTGTTGGCATTAAGGTGGCCATCCCACAGAGGGTCAAATCAAAGATTTCATCTTAATTCTATTCTTTCTACTCCAGCCAAACCTTGTTCACATTGCAGCTTTTGTAGTCCTAAAAGATATGCAGTAAAAGCATCTGACATCTCCTTCTGTAAGTAGCAAGACCTCATTTTAATATGCTGCTTCCTGATTTTAGACAAAGCAATATTTGTGTAGGCCAGGGTAAAACCAGTTAAGCAAGAAAAAACAGAGGCAGATTGAAAGAAGTGAGAGAATCTCCAGTTCAAGGAAAGCATAGCATGATTAATAAGTGAGAACAATCAGTCTGTGGGAAAGAACTACCATTGCATATAGTAATTCCTGGTAAGAGTGACAGACAGCTGTATGGTTTGTTCTTAAAAGTAATTGCAGGAATGCAGCTGCTCTCCTCCTGACTCTCAGTGGTTTTGTTGGGCAGCTGGGATAGCAATGCCATCAGAAGAGCCTGTAAGCTTTGTATTTTTCATGCAGATAAAATGTTTTGTCTCTGGCTGCCAAGAGGTGTTTGCAGCTGAGCAGGTAGATCCTTTTGACTCCAAAGTGACTCACTTCTACCTTCTCCTTCCAAGACCTGGCACCCAGCTCCTTCTTAGAGCTGATGTTTTGCTGTATATGAAGCTGTAAACCAGTTACCCTATTCCTTGTCCTCAGGTCAGGGTCCCTCATACATATCCCAAAAGTGGAAGGGTAACAACAGAGCCTAGCACAGGCAGCTCCTGATGAGTTTTCCTAGGTAATGTCTTTTTCTTGTCCCCCATCACAGCAACATCCTGGTATTGTATTGCTGAGCTCTGGCACTGACTGTCTCAAACATGGCTCTTTGCACTGGGAAGATGCCTGTGAATCCTGCTAAGGGAGGCAGTGCAATTCTGTATGTGATAAACAAATCTTATATGAAGGGTATTAGCACTACGTACCACAAGAAGCCCATCAGATTATTTTTCACTGACGGCCCTTTATAAAAATCCAGTGTAAGATATTAAATTAGTGGGTGTCTGTGAACAGCAAAGGGCATGTTTCAGTGGTAGGCCAGGAAATTCTCAAGATCAAATGAAGGGAATTCAAATAAAGTACAAAATGATCCATGTAAGAGTTAGCTTGCCCTTAATGAGTAAAAGTCTCCCTTATCCAAGTACATTGCAGAAAGCAAGCTGGAGGAGGTAAAGCTGGGAGATGGGTTATTGCTGAAACAGGGAGCTTTCTGGGTTACTGAAAAGAACTGCACACCAGAGCTCTCCCTGATCCACTGATTTGGTGGGGTGGATCCCAGGCCTTCCTGCCCACCTAAGGACATTTACATTACTTGGGTTGAGTTTGTGAAGATGCTGCTGGTCTGATTCAGGCAAAAAGACAGAGGAGAGGGGAACGAAGTAGAAAGTAAGACATCCAGAAACATGTATGTGTTGTTGCCTGCTGAGACACTGTGTGTTGGGCACTAAGGGAAAAGGTACCAGGGAAACTGAAGTTTTGTTCTGTATCAATTCTTGGTTCCAAAACCACAAACATACATATTTGGAGCTGAGATTTGCAGTTTGCTTAAAGGTAGGTACAGAACTTTTACGCTGGCTCTCATGCCATTGTGATCCAAATGCTACAAAACATTATATTCAGAAATACAGTATGAAAAACGTGGGAGCAGATCTTTGACCCCTGAAAATCAGCCTTTCATCCAGAGACTGTTCTATCACATTACTATGTTAAATAATTGTGACTTGAAAACAAGTCTTCTTTGTCTGTGTGCAAAAGCTCTTGAGCAAGGCTGCCCTCATCTCTTTTGTCTTTACAAATAAGGTAGTAGTTCGCTTAAAGAGATTACTTCATAGCTAAAACCATACAGCGAGTGAAAAAGATCTACAGTGCTTTTTACATTTGCTTTTCTTATCACAACTTGATTTTTGTCACGTGTATGTGAGCAGAGAATACTGCAGAGAATACCAAAGAGTTTTCAAATTGCTTGTTGCAACCCAAAATTCACTTAAGCCTGTGGGAAGAGTGATTTCATTTTACTCTTTTTTTCTGCTGGGTCAGAATACATTTAATTGGAAAAAATCTTTGAGCCTTAGATTAATGTCTATCAGGCTGAAAGAACAGGTACATCTCTCCATCTATATGCAGATAATTACTAAAAAGTTACCTGCCTACATATGTTGTTTTCTACCTATCTATCAAATCAGAATTGTGCTTTTATGAGCGCCCCTGAAGAACTCTGAGGCTATGAAACACAAGGCTTTTGTTGCAGCAAAGCCCACAAGAAAGCTTCACATAGCTCAAGAAAAACAAATTAGGGATGTCCCCCTCTACCACCTTGGTATAGGCAGTTTTACATTCCACATCCCTCAGGGGATGCATTAGACACTGAGTTTTGTAGCCTCCTGTGACCTTCTACTTGTTTTCTTTTCAGCAGGTAAGAAGAGCCCACCTGCTGAGGACAAAGTCGTGTTAACACACATGAAGATACTGAGCAATGAAGGAATTCAAAACCCAGGGTTAATCCCAGAGGCTCCAGCTGACACAGCCTGCACAGAGGAGTCCCAGCTTCCCGGTGCCAGTGTCCCACCAGACTGCCAGTGTCCAGATGCAGCAGCCACACCAGCAGATCCAGACTGCGTGGATGGCCTGGCAAGCACTGACTATGTAGCCACCCTGCCTGACCTCAGTGCCTTTGAGTCCAAGTGCCGGCTTCACAGATTCTCCAAATTTGAATCTGAGGACTCAGGGGTTGAGTTGCCAAGCGGTGCTAATTCTCCATCAACGCCAACAGGCTCAGAGAAGAGCTTTGTGCTACACAGCAGAGACTCATTTTGTGACTCGGGTGTGCTTAGCACCACTTCTTCTCCAGAAATTGACCATCAGTTAATGAGAACATGTAATGAACATGCCAGAAAAGTTAGCCTCCAAGATCCAGAGACCCAAAAGCAAGCTGATTACTATGGTCAGGACGTAGATGCTGTGCAGGATCCTACAGCTTCCCTTGAAGACTTCAGTGGCCCTCAGGAAGGAAGTCCTGATGAACATTTTCACCAGGATGACAAACAGTCTCCAGAAAAGGAATATACTGCAGAGATGGATCTTTCCAGGGAAAGCACTATTTCCACCCCAGGTCCCATAGAAGAGCCAAAGACAATTGCTGACAATTTTCCTGAGAATTTTGGCAGCATGCAAGACCTTCAGATCCATGAACATCAGCTGAAGAAGTACCCCACAAGTGACAGCCTGGATGAGTACATGGATGAATGCTGTAGGCTGAGTGAGGTGAGAAACACCTGAACTGAATCTTAAATCTGTGCCTGTCCAAACACCCCAGTCAGTGTTCAAGTCCTGTTTCTCACAATTTTGACACATCTGAGTGAGTTTAGAATATCTCTCCTGAAACCTGTAAGCAGTAAAAAAATGGTAGTTGATTTTTAAGATTTCTTTTCATACTAGTAAAATTCTGAATTAATTTGTAAATATCAGGTCGTAAATACAGGGTAAGGATGAAAAATGACTCATTGAGATCTGGTGTTTCTAAAAGGTCTAGATGAGAGAATGGACTTGATTCTGGTCTCAAAATTAAGATTATGAAGTTAAGTCATCCTCTGATACATGGGGTGGGGGTCAGAACATGGATTTATTTTCAAGACCAGGTTATTCCTGTCTCTGGGAGTAGCTGGTTTGCTTTTGGGGCACTGAAATTTGTAAAGAACTTATCTAAGGGTTAATTAATTTCTGTCCAGGCCTGATGTGCCCTGTTGAGTCAACTGTCTCAAATAATGCACGAGCAGGGAGGTAATTCACAGATTCAGATTTTTGTCGGGCTGGAGTTGGAGATGCCATTTTAACTTGCCAGCATAGCTGTGATGGACCAAACTGCGAAGACTTAATTTCAGCAGGTTGTTCCACTCGTTACTCCCTCTCTTTCCCCTTGCTGGTACCCTGTGCTACTAACAAGAGAATAAAAAGACCTCTGTGCACCTTCGCCCATAGCAGGTGCTGGTAAGTGCTCCCCCCAGTTCCTTGCCTGAAGCCTCGTGCTGCTGAAATGAGGACAGATGAGGACAGATGCCTTGCCTGCATGCTGCAGTGGGTTCCAGGAACCAGCAAAGATCTCAGTGGGGAGCAGATTCTTGTCAGAGAGACAGACCAAAGAGCCCCATGAGCAAAAGGAAGAAAAAAAGGAGAAAGGCGGACTAGGTGGAGAGGGTCACAAACACACAAAAGCATCAAATGGTGCTTAGCAGGGATTTTTTGGGGGGCGTTGTGGTAATAGTCATGAATTGGAATTGGAGATGGGTGGGAGGAAGTCAAGTAACAAGTGATGTGTGCTGTGCAAATAATTTAACCATGACCTCGCTGCCCTGAACAATCAGGCACTGGACTTCCTCTCCAGCATGCCAAAACCTCCTGAGCAGTGAGGAAGGTCAGAGATGTCTCATCTCTGTTAACATTGTATATCAAGGCAGTACAAGCAACACAACCCATCTGAGCAGTGTTTTCCTCCCCAGAGCTATCTCACACATGGCAGAAGACAGATGTCTATTTTGCACAGATCCCAAACAGATCTGGCCATTTGACAGAGAGTTCAAGAAAGGATGAGAGCAGCAGAATCTGACCATAAGGAGACTTCATAAAAAGTTATCTAAATTCTCTGTTTCACTCTGGAGAGTTTGCACCCAGATTTGGTCTTGTCTGACAGCTCTGTATGCCTGTGAAATTCCTTTAAATCCTTAGTGAAATGGAGCCTCAGTTTACCAAAGCAAAGCATTTAAATAAACGAGAATAAATTAGAAAGAAGCTGAAGAGGAAATTAAGCTTTTGGTGGCTTATCTCCCCTCCTTTTTAATATCCTCACTGAGTGCTAAAGCCCTGTGCCCTAGAGCACTTTTCTTTGTTTTTTGAGCTGTGTAAATACAGCTGTGACCTAGATGCTGAGGAAGTTTGCCCCTCTTCACAGCATACCCCCAGGCTGCTGTATCTCAAGAGCAGTGCTCCTCAAACTGCTGGGATGCCAGGTAGCACCGAAGTTGACTGGCACAAGAAATGCCCAGCTGCAACAGCTGCTGCTCTGTGTGCCTCAGCGCACCAGGACAGCCTCTGGCAGGTGCAGTCTTTTGCCCTCACCAAGCTTACACCAGGCTGACCTGTCCTCACTATCATACCACAGAGACCTGTTCAAGAGTGAGGTCCAGATGATCATCTGACCATACAGCTGACAGATGCATCTTGATTCATCCCATCTGAGGCTCTGCTCCAGGCTTTCTCTGTGGTTTTCACACTTGCCTGTAACCTACACAAGACACAAAATGGTACTTAGAAACCAATCTCTGCTACAGCCTATTGTCTTCTGAGGGACTAAGATATGCCTGGGAAAGAATCACTGTTGCCTGAAAGAAAGCAGCCTGGCACTGCATATTCCCACCCTGCTTGGCAAGAACATGGCAAACCAAATTGCTCCATCATATCAATTCCTGCTGCATTAATTAATGTTGATAGAAATGCAAAAGTGCTTACACTGGCTTATAATTAATGCTCAGTGAGAGCATTATTTAGTTATAGGTGACACGATCTTCCTCAGTTCTATTGATGGTTTTGGGAACTTTCAAGTAACAGAAGAGCAGTTGAATTTCCCCAGCCCAGCTGGCTGTGGCAGTGCCAACTGTGCTTATTAGCTCACCACAGGCAAATGAGGATTCAGTCTCTAGGTGAAGTTGTCCCTTGATGTCCTCCTCACCATCCCTCACTGCTGAGGCCACTTCCAAGAGAACAGGAAGGAAAATGCTGAAAAAGAGAGACTGGAAATGACCAAATGTTTTGACCACTTGGATTCAGTTGGTGAATGGCTTTGGCTGAAAGTATACATCAAATAATTTCAGTGCAGCATTTTTAGACAAAGCTTTCTGATCTTTTGTTTTGAACTGACGTTATTTTGAAATTTGCCTACATTTTGAAAGATGAAAGAAAATGGAAGCTGTCAAACAAGAGAAAGAACTTTGAAGCCTAAATAAAAGCATTTCCTTTTAAGCTTGAAGTTTGGAGATACATAGCTTTTGATGCTTTTGCTTTACAAACACTTCCTCATGCTCCATAAAGTTTACATTTAAAGTCAGCCCAGCCCATACTCCTAGAAGGAAAAGGATGGGAGCACTGTCATCACTAGGAGAAAAAAAAAAATCATTATTCATGCAGTGCTATTTATCCTGGGCCAAAGCAATCAAAATGTTTCTCTACAAAGTGGTAGAGTTCAGGGGAAGGATAGGGCTACCTGTGATGGGCAGCCCCCTAGCCTGTGCGTGCTGCTCAGGGGAAACCAGAAGCTATCAGCAAGCACAGCCCCTCCTGGACAGCAGGGTGGAGCCGTCAGAAATACACAGCACGATCCCTCTTTCCTGTTATTCACAAGCCTTTTGGTGCTGTCAGCTACCAGTGACAAATGCTTCCCACTCAGCCTGTGGCGTCACTAACTGGTTGATCTGAGCCCGGGATGGGAGGGTTGGAATTACCTTGTTCCCTGTCGGTGACACAGTGACCATGCTGCCTGTACCAGCCGTGCTCACTTGGCCAGAGCACCCAGTGAGGGATGTATGGCAGGATGCAGCATAGTATTACCCAAAACTATCCACAAGAAAAGTGAAGAGCATTGTGTGAATCACAGATACCTAAGGCAATGCAAGGTACATCAGTGAACATTTATCTGAACAAAGAAAAGCTTCCCCTGCAAACTGCCCATCATCTTCAACTCCTGCTGCCAGGTTCAGCCCAGGACAGTTCACCATTGAGCCCAATTGTAGAAAAGCACATCACATGCATGCAAGTAACAGATAATGGCTGAAATGAGGCTGGGCAAAGTGCTGACCAGATGATCAGACATGTAGATTTTGATTATACATCAGTTGGACTAGAGACTTGAAAGCAACTCTCATTCTTGCAGCTCCCACTGAACCTCAGATCTTTGTAGTGATCAGATGCTCCAGTATATACTCAGTTTTATGGCTGAGTAACTTTTGTCTTGCCACCATTTCTTGCAGGCTCTGCCTGAGAGGAAAATAAAAGTCATGAAATGAATGACTGCTTGACTTGGAGTCAACAACCTCTGACCCAACTTCAGATACAAAAGCATCTGGATTTAATAATACCTGTTTATAAATAACGTTGTATCATCATTTGTTTAAAAAGAAGTAAATCCTAATGTTGATTATTTTTGAACACACCATGAGCTTTCTGACATAATGAAAAGACAGGAAGAGTCCCAGGGCTGGCATTTCCCCAAAAATGTAGATTGTTGTGGGAAAGGAGACAGAGTAAGCTTCCTGCTTTTGTAGAGGGAACTTATTTTTTGAAGTAAGATAAACTTAGAGCACTGCTTTTGTAAAGATCGAGGCTTGTTTTACTCCCTGATATCACACGCACATCAGCAGGCAGCGCCAAGGTGGAAGTGAGTCCCTGCATGTGTTTGTTAAGAGCACGTTCAACACAGTCACGGCACAGGGGAGGACACTCACTGTGCATAGGGAGGTCTTGGCACCAGAAACGGTGAGGTGCAGAGCAGGAGGCTGGCAAGCATTGTAGCTTTTTTTCTGCCATAGGGTTACTTTCTGTCTCCAAACCTGCCCTTGGCTGAGCAGCAGTGAGACTCTGGCAGGTCCTGGGTGAAGAGAAATTGGTGGTAGATACCATCCACAGCCAGACAGCAAAGTTGATCCTGCAAACTTTCTTCAGGCATCTCTTCAACACTGAAAAAGTAGCAGCAGGGATGTAAGCTGGGATCTACTAAAGACTGGTGGAAAGATGTTCCTTCACTTTGTCAGCTTGATTCAAGTACATTTCTCTCATAGACACACCAGTGACGAGGGCCAGAGTACAGCAAAGTGTACCCCAAGTTGGTCACAACTCAGCAAATCAATGCAACCTTTGGGTAGGAGCCATGCCCAGCTTCAGGACACATAAGTGTGACTTGCACTGAGGATTGTGGGCTAAGTGAGCCATACTAGCCCCAGCCGTCCATTGCATGCAGTTGAACCATATTTGTTTGTAAGGCTTCTGTTGCCAGGAAAAGACAAAAGTTAGCCTGGGAGGTGGAACTAGAAACAGGCTGAGGTTTTCCTCTGCATCAGCCTGTCATCAGTCAGAAGAGTCCCTCTGACAGTGGAAATTGCTGAGTAATCCAGAAAAAAACTTCAGCAAATGATGCTGTAGCTCAAATCTGTGGTAAGGCCAAAGTCCCTTGCAAGAGGAAGCCTGAATTTATCACAGGACATGACTGTAAGGAGTGTGCAGAGCTCTCAGCTCCTAGTAGGAATTTCTCTGTTGTTACTCCATGGTCCAAGATGCATTGTCATTGCAGGTGAACCAAAGTAACAGCAAAGCCCTGGGATCTGGTCTGGGATACCTAGAACACATCTGCCAGCTGATTGAGAAGATTGGGCAGCTTCAGGAGCACAACCTGCGTCTCCAAAAACAAGTGTGCAGCTTGCAGAAAGAGCAGAAGATGAGTCAGATAAAAGAGGTAAGCAGACACCATGGTATCTTCCATTGAGTAATACATCTTAAATAATAAACTCAAGGCCCAAACAGAAAGTTCTGTTTGGCATCTGTGCGGGAAGATGCCAATTTACCACATCCAACACCCACCTGGGCTGAGTACACTGCTCTTCAGGGAGGCCTCACACACCACAGTGGGTTTAGTTTCCTGAGGCTGGGCTTGAGTTTCTGTTCTTATTCAATTTTGTTTCCCAAATGTGCTTGTTTCTTTTGAGTTAAAAAGCACACTTCTCACCTCATGCAATGGCCTGCTCTGAGTCAGTAACTTTTTCTTCTCTACAGCTGTAAACTTCCCAAGAACACATCTCCTCTCCTCAATGTTATCAAAACAAAATCCACAGAGCTCCTTAGCAATTGTGTTTTGATTTATAAGATCTTACATTTCCTTCTGGTTTCAAACTGTCAAAATCCCAGAATTTTTCACAAAACAGACACAAGGGGAAAAAGAACCATGACCCAGCTTCATGCTTTTTTCACTTCCTGTGAAAAGAAAGATATTCTTCCTGAGCTGCCAGATGAAGAATCTCTGACATGAAACCATTTCAGTGTTCCCATTTGTCATTTTTATCAGCCAGAGCTAGCTGGAAAATCTGACTGAAATTTGCAAATAATTTCAGGGTCTTCCTAGCATTTCCACCAGCATTTTTTAGCCCCTGCATATTTCATTAAGCTCTATCCCACCTCTTCTTCAGTCATCACACCAGATTTCCATCTTTTTTCCTCCCCTGCCTTTTTGTTTATTTTAACACTCCCCAAAGGAACAGGAAGGGTTTATCACACTCAACTATTTCTTCCCAGCTGTGCTGTGGTGAGTCTTTTATTCTCCTGATAGCATCATTGTTCCCCTGGTGCTGCTCTCCCACCTGCTGGGACTGGATCTGCAGTAGGTGACTGACTCCTCCTCAGAGCCAAAGCCAAGTTCTGAGTCAGGTTGCAGAGCAGAGTATCTTGTCATTTCCATGTACCCATCTCTCCCACTCAGAGGAATGCAGCCTCCTACACAGAGCCTGGGAATTGTTAACACATTTCCTGAAGCTTTACAACTGTGAGTCATTGCTCAAAGTAACTCTTCCAAGCTGCAAAATCATCTGGTGTATGTACCCCCTCCCCAGCTCTCACTGAAATGAAAGGCATTGTGCTTTCATTTAAATATTTGAAACTTTGATCTTTTTGGTACTTATGAAGGTCTCTCAGCAGTGTCTCCTCAGATGCATTTGTCTCATACTGTTCAGTGGGGAACTGGATCCTTAGATGTAACATTCAGTGCTTGCAGTGTGGTCTACAAAACTGGACACTCTCAGGTATCCTGTGGTGCCTGGATCTCTTATATTTGAGCAGCTCTCCATCATTTTTGTTCTTCAGTCATAGCCCCTCTGAATAGAAGAGGAACACTGCTACCCCCATTTGCCATGAAATATGAAGATTGCCATCCACAGATTGGAGGGTGTCCAAAGACTCCTTTGGATGAACCACCTTCACTCTCCATGTAGACTATGAGCATGGAAAGGTTTACATGTCCCTGACATGACTAGGGAAGACACAACCCCCAAAACATTGGGCTAGCATGGTATTAAGAGCTGGTCACAAGGACTGTAGATAACCAATGCTCACAGTGCTGTTCTTGAGAGGTGCACAGACATCACTACTGAAATTATGGCTTTAATCCTGGGATACAGAGGCAACACTGTTGCTCCACATCCTTTGCTTTATAGGGAAATCTATAATACCATAGGCCAAAACCAGCATCTTTCATCAGATTTACTAAGCATCTCCCAAAGGTATAGGTAATGCAAAGTGCCACACTGCTGTGACAACATATCCAGATGAGAAGTGACATTGAAACTGTCAGTTGCTTGGGGATCTCCAGAGTTGCTAAACTGGTGTTGGCCTGTCCTGGTTCCAACACTAGTAAACAGTTTGGTTCCCTTTCGGCTTCAGCTGGATAAAGCTCTCCTTACTTCCTACCCTACTAAACTCTTGTACAACATGGTTGTACAAGGTAGAAAATCTCCCCTTCCTCACCCCACCAGCAACAGCAGAAGTACACTGACTGAAGTAACCTGTACCATCAATCTGACTGGTAACACACAAGAAAACTGGCATCCCATCAATAAAAATACAAGATATTGTTGTCTGTGCATGCTCCAAAACAAATAACATTTTAAAATATGATTCATTGTTATAACTGATCTGTTTGTTTACACTAATGCCTTAGCTGAGCAGCTCTCTGTTTAGAAACACATATTCAATTCCTTCTGGGAAACAAACTGAAAAGATGCTGAATATCAAGCAATTTAAGTTAAATGCTAATGAAATCATGTAAACTCTGAATTACTAACTACAGGCTATTCAGCATTTTAGAGAATTAAATAATTTGTCTGGATTCTGGTGGGTCCTAGGACAAGGATGGACATCCTTGGGCTGGAATGTTTACAATTTCTCTGTAGTGTGGCACCACCCATTACCTTGCAGCCTGAGAGCCTGTATACTTTCTTTTTGTCTGGTGCAGGAATACATTCTGCAGCATTGCTCCTGTGGAGCTGCCAGTATCTTCCTTAATTCATATCAAGACATGAAAACAAATTTTACTGGGAGGAGCAGACCTCACAGCCTCTTGGTTCAGACTGGAAACCCTTCTGATCTTTCCATCATCCCAGAAATAGGAGCGAACACGGAGAAGCTGAGCAGCTGCCATGGTGAGTTCAAGTACCTCTAACATGCCCTCCCGTTTGCCGCCACTAGGTCAAACAAGTTGGCCAACCACTTTCTTTTCCCTAGGAAAGACAGTTGGGAACAGAGCAAGGTTTTAGTAGAACTAAACCCTAGCTGAAATCCAAGAGAAGCAATTTAAAATCCTCTGTCTATACCTAGGATTTTAACACTGGCTGCTTCATGTGTGTGAGTCAGGGGTTTTTGCTTTGCAGCTGTGGCTGTAAAGATTAGGACAAATTAATTATAAAATAGGTCTTTTGGAAAATTAGCATGCCTGAATGGGACCGTTTGTGGAGCCCCCCTCCACCCAGGCAAGGTAGGATTTGATCTAAGATGGAAAACCTTATGTCTGTTGTTAGTGTTCTACCTTCTCAAGTAGGCACGGAACACGTTCCTGGAGGGTGACTTATTCTACAGACCAAGTGGAAATAAGCACCAGCTGCAAAGCTTGGATCTAGAGACCAACTTTTCCAGAAGACTGAGAAAAACTGGGCTCAGCTGACTGATGACAAAACCAGATGAAAAGTGTTAAATGTGAACCAGCTCACTAAATGAGCCTGATCAATTTCAAACCTTGGATTTCAGCTTGTTTCTAATACCTGGTGAGACATAGTTGCAGGATTGAGTCAGAGCCTTTGGGATCACACGGGGTCTTATCCTGTCTTTAAGTCCTTAGGGTTCTCATCCCATCTGAAGTGTAACTTGCTGCCAGCACTGCGCAGAGGCCATCCTAGCAGGGCACTGCTAAGAAATAAGTCCTTGCATTTCATTGCAGGAAGTGAGAGATACCTGCAATCAGGAAAGAGCCAGCCAATGATGGGGCTCAGGATGTCATCAAACAATAGGAACAACAAGGAGAATGAGTTCAGAGAAGTTGGGAGTATGGCTGAGGGACAGACTTTTCTCTCAAAGGATCCTGCAGTAAGAAAGGTGAGTGATAAGCCTGGAACCTGACTCTGAGTGGGGCCCATGGGAGAAGCAGAGAGAAATTATGCTCAGGAAGATCAGAGTGAGGTGCCAGGAAAGCAAGCCAGCCTTGTCTGCTGCTGAGTGGTATTGGGCCAGCGAGGGTCAGGGAAGGTCTGTGTCTCTCTGCTCCCAACCTTAAATGAAGAAGGACTTTGTCTTTATGCCAAGAAAGGCACACATGGATCACTGGTGCTGAGGAGTGGAGCATAGCAGACAGTAGCATGGGTTTAGTCCTCACCAACTCCAAATAACTTACTGTGTGGACTCAGTCGTAAGTATCTCCACTACTGATGCTAGTGAGATTAAACCAAGTATTCATTACCACTAATAAAGATTTTAGTGGATCAATCCTGGCCACACTTATTACCAGACTGGCAGCATATCAATGTAATGAGCTCCAGTTCTCAAAGCATTTTCCAGAGAATGTGTTTCAGCAAATCTGTGTCACTGAAGTCCAAGGGAGCAAGGGTGAATGCTTTCCTCTCCCTTTCTTTCCCATTGTTTGTATCTGCCTCAGCACTTTTGTGTTCCGGTGGGGTTCAGAAGTGCTGAAATGCCAGAGCAGAGACTCTAATCAGAGTATTCCCAGCCCTTCAAACAGGAAAGAGGAAGGAGAAAGTCTCTCACGGGAAAGACCTCATGAAATTTCCACCCTTAAGTTGCAAATAGGTCATAAACACTTTGATGAACTTCAGAACCAAATTAAGGCTGAGGCCTGAAAGGTGCTCCATGCTCTGCCTCGTGTCCAGCCAGCTTCCGGAATATTTTAAGCATGTGGGAAGCTCTGATGACTTCACAGGACTGCACAACCAAGATCCATACTCTTTAAACTGAATCCTCATCCTCTCTTGTTACATCACACCTTAGTATTGTCACTTAGTATTGGATTTTGTACCCTGAAGATGAAAGGCCCCATTTATTCCTGCAGTGCAGGTACTGTATGGGAATTCTGTACTGTATGGGAATTCTGTCTGTTACACTCTTCCCCAGGCTACTAGATACTATACACATGAACTGACAGTTTAAATACAAAAGAGAGGTGAGAGGTGGAAGGAGAAAGAAGGGATTATCACATGTGAGGGACTGAGTCTAAAAAGAAATAAAGGACTCGACCAAGGCTATGAGTACATTCCAGGGCAGAGCTGAGAACAGAGCCTCGTCTGTTGAAAACACTGGGAGATGGTCTTGCTGTCTTCTTATTTATCAGTGTATTTCCCTTTTGTTTTTAGGCTCTGGACATCAGCAAGTACATCTCGGTATGTATTGCCTTTGCAGCATATATTTAACTTGTGTCTACGTTATCAGTGAGTAAGCCCATGTAGTGCACAGCATTATATGAACAAAAGAGGTTTACTCACCCCCCGAAGTGAAGTTTACTCTCATGGACGACAGGAGCATCAGCTGCTCAGGCTTTCTGCAGTATCAGCAGTGCTTGCTTGTCCTAGACATCACCAGCACAACTAGGGACTAACTACTGAGGCCTCAAAACCCTTCCACAGCACACTCTAATCCTAGCAGTAAACACAGAGGTTTGCTATTTCCTTGAGTAAACAGTCTTGCTTACAGGCAAATAACTCTATAGCACTGAATGAAGTGTTGCAGTTCTCAGATGAGCCATGACCTCATCTGAAGTTTTGAACTGAACACTTTACAGATTCCCAAGAAGAACTATTGCAATAGGCTTTGCTGGGGCTGGTAAGTATGGCTGGGCAGCTGCCAGATTGTGCTGTCAAGGTGGCCACAACTCCTATAGTAATGGCTCTGCTGGTGACACAGCAGAACCAACATATAGTGAGGAGGAACCTCAGGACAGGGCAGAACAATGTCAGGTTTGAGAAATTCACTGAAACGAAATCTCTCTGTTATGCTAGTTCTGGGACATGATAATTTTCTTCTATTCCCCAGGTTTTTCAGTCATCACTTTATTGTTTAAAATCAATATTGGGAAAAAAATGTTTTTTTATTCATAGCTCTGTTTAGTTCACCGGTCCAGATAAGCCCGGCCTGGAGAGAACAAAGATTAGAGATGGCCTCCTGAGATTCCCTGACCTCTTGATAATCTCTATTAGCATTTCAAATGTAAGGGACCAAAAGCTGTGGCTTGCCGAGTGACAGGGAAACAAAGGCTTGATCTCTTCTAATTCATGTTCCACAAAAGCTACCACCTTAAGAAAGGCTGATACCAATGCACCTGGCCTAATAGAAAGGATAAGAGAGTCAAACTGCTTCTTTGAGTTTTGTTGTAAAGGCCCCCTGCATGCATGTGAGTAGGTAGGAAATCAAACCAATCTTCTCCTTTAGCATAGCATAACAATAGGGTACAACGTGCCCTTAGGCAGCTACTCAGCATTCACCGGTGAGATGCTCTCAGTCTCTGAAATCCTAATTCAGAAAGAACAGCAGAGTCCTAAGCAGAGAAACGTTATCAAACAAAATACAGAAAGAGATGGTATTACTCAGAGTTCATCAATCCTGTCTCCTTGTCCTATACAAGTACAGGCTGGCCACTGGGCATCATTGCAGTGTTAAAAATTTTTTTGTGGGCCGTGACCCCTATCTGTTTGAAATAAAGAAGAAACTTCCCTCTTTCCACCACCCTGGAATACCCCAAAGTATCATATGTTGACCAGATGAAGTCTGCTAGCAACTTGCCTCTGGTCTTTTAAGTTGTGGTTTCTTTTTGCTCCCTAGGGTGAGAGCCATGCTTGGAGGAGAATGAGAGATCTTATGAGGAAGTCACGGTTGACAAACCAGAACAAGCTGGGGCTGTCCTCTGCTGCTCTGAAGAGGTCCTGCCCACAGTTGTATAGGTGAGAGAATGCAGTGGGGGATTTTCACTTAGTGTTGTGAGGAGGTGGTAGAAGCTTTACCTCTGGTTGTTGCTGCCTGAATAAGACCACTCCTTACCTTATTTCCATTGCATATGCTGGTTCTGGTTAGCAGCATTTGCTTCCTTAGTGCCCAGATCCCCCAGGATCCCAACTGGATGCTGCCCGTGTAAGAATCATGGAAACATCAGGGTCCCTAAAATAAGGTGCTTCTCCCCAGTAGGTTACAGGGATGATGACAACTAGCCAGAGCCATTCTATAGCCTAGTTATTTGTCTTTCTGCTCCCTCCTAAGTGTTGCAGTCAGAATTGATGTTCTCTTTTTTTCCACTTTCCCACCTTTCATCCAGTGGGACAGATCATATTGTGCCTGATGTGTGTTGGGATGGGACAGTCAGGATCAGCTGGATGGTTCTTGTCAGAGGAAGAGATGAAGTTTGCTGAATGTGTGCTTATGGGTGGGACCTGTTTGTTGCTGTAGATGAATATTTAGGTCAAGTATGAGGTCTTAATTCCATTAAGTGATCCATGCTGCTCCCTTGGGCAAGTTTGTCTACCAGGCTTGTAGCCTGGCCTCTGAACTAAACTGTGTTATGCGTGTCCATCTGACAGTTCTGCCAGCTATCCCTTGCACAGATATTCCCTGTGCACTTGCCAAGTCCTCCCAGCTAGTCTGGTGTATTTGGAGTGTTTGTGTATGTAATCAGGTAACAGGAAGAGCCTGGGTATCTTAGTCACCAAAGCAGGAGCATTACATGGAGCTGTGCACCTCCCTGTATGTTTTTTCAGCTGAGGTCTCAGTAACCTTCAGCGGAAGAGCTCAAATGTGCTTAAGCCCTCCTCCAGTTTTAGAGGGGGTGATGGTGGGGAAATAGCAGTTGTTTAAGCACTCAGGAATGTCCTATTGTTCCCCTAAAGACAGCCTGTACCTACCTTACAAAATGCATAAGGCAACTGGGAATCTTATAATTACAGCTGGAAAAAAAACCCCTCTGCAATACATGGAGTGATTTTTCCAGCTGGGAAAAGGTTGGTTGGGGCCCAAATACACGTAACAGGAAAGCTTCCTCCTATTGTTTGGGAAACTGAAAGAAACACAAAGCAGAGAGAGATCAAACAGTTCCATGTAAAATAGATGGTGAACAAGCTGGTGAAAAAAATACAAACTCCTGTGAACCTTCCTTCTAAACCTGAATAGAACCAACACTTTTATTTGTGTTCAGAAAAGTTCTGTCTCTGTAACTTTCTCCTTGCCCCATCTCCACAACACAGAGGACAGCGCCAGCAGTCCCTGCATAAGAATTGAAGTCTAGGTTCTCCACTGCCTAAATTAAGGTATTTCCAATGAAGGGTGAGCCCAATAGCTCCCTAGAAATTAGTCTCCTAGAATGGACAACTACTGCTATCGTGGAAATATTGTACAATGAGATGCCAAATGGACAGGTTTTTTGCCTGACTGTATCCAGGCCTCTTCAGAGCTCTTGTACACTGATTTTTGGAGGCTGTTTTCAGTAGCTGATGAATATCCTTTTCTTCTACTTTCTTCTATTGTATATCTATATGAAACTCTTGCCTCTATTCATGCCCCTTGCCTCCCTCCATTTCCTTTCCTCCTTCATTTTAGCCCTTATTCCCCAACCCTATCTGTATTTGGTCTTGCTCTTTTTACCCTAAACCCAGCAATAGCAGTGTACAGACCCTGTCCTTTTCACTAATGTGTGGAAAAGCTGGGCAACTTGTTCACATGGCAGTTTGGATATACAGCTGCCCTCAGGTTCCTATGAAGTAAAAAGTTATGCCTAGTGGATCAATGACAGACCAGGAAATGCTGCTGGACTGTAAAAGGGACCCTTCCTGTGGCAGTACCAGAATAGTAAAGCAATAACAACTCACTCATCTGCAAATCTTGGCAAAGCAAACCTTGAAGCCCTGCTACTCTCAGCATTTAAAGCCACTGTTTTTGTTATAATTTATGAAACATGTTTGTCCTGGCTCCTGGTCCTGTTTGTACGTGCAGACATAGGGAGTTGGCTGTCTTTTGCTTACCTGGGCTTTTTTGGGCTCCAGGTCTTGCACTGGAACAGGCTAGAGCCTGGTGCCCTGTATTAACATACAGTTCTGAAGGAGTCAGAGATTTGTTGCCTTTGACACCCAGTCCCACTTAAGTCATTTGGGCAATTAGAGAAAGTCTCTTTGTTTTTGTTTTGGTAACTAGGTCAAAACAAATCCCCTTTCATGCTCCTACTCTGTGTATGATGAATGAACTGCTGTAGGGTTGTTTTGTTTTTCTTTTCTGTCTCTCTTTTTTTTTTTTTTTTTTTTTTTTTTTTTTTTTTAATTTTTTTTTTTTTTTTTTTTTATTTTCACAATAGAATTCTCATAGCAGAGAGAACTGGGTTCTTTTAGCAGGAGAAAGGGGAGGCCTGCCAAGGTAAACATACTGGCACAAGACTCAGTGGTTTGTCATATATTGTTCTAAACAGGCTCAGGTTTTCATTTAATTTTCTTTTTCTTGCTAATACATTTGCTCCTGCAAAGCAACATCTATTCTGTGCAAAGGACCAGAACAGACTGATGACTGACTTCATTATGGTGTTGTGAACTTAAGCAGCACATGGTCCTCCACTTTCCAGGCAGGATCTAATGTAGGCAATCCCCTCCTGACATTCCAGTGCAGATATACCCACCTGGGTATCTGTGAGAGCTGTAGCTTTAATGCAGATGCATGGGAATGAGCTAACCTCAAATACAGTGTTTTTCATGGTAAAGATGATCGTTTCTGTTTGAAGCCACCAAAAGCTTGCTGCTGCATGATGCCTGTTTTTTGGTTAGTGTGAAGTAAGCTAGCAAGGATAGTGCAGTTCTAAGATTACAAAACCCCATCTTCAATATTGTGTAGTAAAGGTTGAAAAGGACACAAGAACTGCAGACTCAGATCTGAATGATGCTCTTCACATGGAAGATTAATACTAAGGTGTTCTCAGCTCTGCTTGGTGTTTCTTAGGGTTGAGAAACCACCAAAGAATTAAAGAACATCAAAACAGAAGATTGGTCCATTGTAAAAGAGCTAAGAGCAGAACAAAACAAAAATTTACAACATTTAGAAAAAAACCCAATATAGTAGTTCACAAAATAGGGTCTGCACCATGTTAGTCAGGACTTTGAGATGAAAATTTTTCAAATTGAACATTTGAAGTAAATATCTATTAGCTATTTATTTTCTGTAAATAACTTTCAAATATTGCTTTAAAAAACCAAAAAACAAATGACAGCTTCTTTTTCTTAAACAGAACCTATTTTACAGATGCATCTAGAAAGTGTTTCAAAAGGTTTGTCTGTCATAAGTCCTGGAGGCCTGAGCTAACTAAGTAATTTCAACCAAACAGGACGTATTACACTTGTTTCAATCATACGTAATAAATAACATACAAAAAAATAAGCTGGAGACAGTCCACAGGAGCTAGTTTAGTGTTGCTCTTCAAAACACTTAATTTCCTACTTACTATTTTAGGCCAGAAATTTTAACTTCTGTGTGATGTTCAGCCACAAGTCTATCCCCCATCTTCCAGCTAGGCAGAAAATACTGGTTGCTCTGAATAAAATGATGTTTGTGTCCATCCATTACAATGTGGCTCAATGCCAAGTGCTGCATCTTGTGGCTCTTTTTTTAGATGCTGCCACAACTATTTGGACAGCATCTGTTACAGAATTTCAGACTGGAGAGGGGGAAGCTGCTTTTGGGTATAGCTTAGATACATATGCACAGCATATTAATGTTAAGAACACAGCCATGCATTCTGGCCACTGTCAGCTTCAGTTGTATTTTTCCATTTGTTAAGGCCAGATATTATGTCTTCAGAGCTGAGAAAAACTGAGAGGAACTCCATGATTGTTCTGGGACAAAATACAAAGAACGAAAACTTATGGCCTTTCTGACAACCTGAGTCAAATGGAACAAGGTAAGGTAAGTAAAGCAACATGCATTTCTTTGTGGATTGGGGATTTTCAACTCTTCTCAGCACAAAAATGAGGCCATCCTGTGTTCCTTTTTCCAGACACACTCCAGCTTGCAAAGACAGAAACAAGTCAAATTTTTGAAGTTCAAATGATGTGGATTGATGTCTACTGAGGACTACCCATATATCTTCCTTTTAGTAGTCCCCCAGCTTTTGGCTTGTATTTTTTTTAACTCACAATTTAAAGGCAACTGTAGTCATACAGGCTACAGTATACAGCCTTTTTACAAAACATAAAAGGCACTCAATTCATTTATCTGCAGTCAGTCAAAAGACATCAAAATAATAAGTCAATGACATGTCTTGGGAAAGAGACAATATGTTCCTATCTAATAAAGACTAAAAGAAAACCAGCTTCAGCTTCATCTGCCACCTTCCCAACTCAGCCCACAGGCTAAACACAGAGAAACTCTCTCTAATCTGACATTCACTGCATGTTTCTGTTTCAGAAAGTCAAGACAAGAACGCCAAAGGACACCATCAAGAATCCTGGGGTTACTCTGTGCCATCTACATCCTACAGTTGTCAACAGAGCAACTCTGAATTGAGTGTTGGAAGGGAAAGAGGGAAGGGGGATGTTGAGAAGGGTCTGTGGGCAGATACATGCTCAACTATGTATGGCTTTGCTCCTGAATATGAAGTGTACTTTTCAAAAGTCAAGCCACAGATGAAAATTGCTGTTAGCATCTTGGCAACACAACCAACAGGGACACAACACAACCTTTAAGATTTGGAAATTCTTCTTCTTCTCTGAGTTGGGAACAGAATTGCCCGCAACATTGAAGCTTTTAAACTATCATTACTTTCTGGGGACATCTTCAGCTGAAATAAACATTAGCTCTATCTAGAGGAGTGCCAGAGACTCATTGCCCAGGGCAGAAGTGGCTGTTGAAAGGACAGCCTCCTCCCTCTGGGGAGCCCGAGTTGCAGTCTCTGTCCCTAGCACAGTTCCTCCCTTCAGAGCTGCCTATAGCCAGCTGTGCCATTTCACTGGAATCCAACAGGAAAACAAACTGTGTAAAGCTAAGGTCATTCCTGAATCCACTACTGGCTTCCCATCCTGTGGGCCTTTTCCTTCCGCAGAGGTCCCTGAACTCTGGTGCTACCCTGCACAGAAGTTGGCATTGTACACACTCATTGTAAAGACCAGAGTAAGCAGCACTGCAGGAATCAGCCTTCCAAGAGACTGGAGGGGCATCCAGGGCAGCCTCTGCCCCACGCCCAGCCATTGTGTAATTAATCTTTTTCTCGTT